GTTTTGCTAATTCTATAAAAAATTTTTTTAATATAGATTGATTTAAAGTCCATCTTGGTCTTTTTTGTATTCCTCTCCACATCCCTTTTAACAGATTATGATCTGCCCATGTACCTATTTCTATTTCAATTTCCTATATATTCATCCTCAATTCAGACATCATCCAAATCATATCACTTCTTGACCAGGATTTTTGGCTGTTTGAATAAAAGGTGTATTGTAATTTTTCTGGATTAATTTGTATTCCAATTTCGTCTGTCATCTCAAAAATGTCCTAGGTAATCTTCTTCCGCTTTTCCCTGTTTTACTGCTTTTATAATCAATTGTATCATCTACTATCGCATTAAAGTCTCCTACTAGACAGATATTTTGATACTCCATTTCTATTACCGTATTTTCCGGCATATAAGACAACTTTCTAAACCATGAAAATCTTCTCAAAAGTCGGGGGCCATCTTATAAGCCCAGTCGTCTTATACGCCGGAAAATACGGGTATTCTATTTTATTCCTTTACACATGTGGTTTGGCATATTACTCATCAAGTTTTCTCTCCCCCCCTTCTCTTGCTGAAAAAGAGTCCTAGGGTTATTATTATTAAAACCAGCCGATCAACTAACAATATCTCTTTCCGGCCTCTATACTGGGAGAATGATAGGCATTATCTGGCTGTTGTGATGGTAAGATTTCCTGGAGGTTTATTCCCCATTCTATAATGCTACATTGCATACCGCCTCCTTCTCTCTTCTTCCCTCTCCTTCGCCATCCCAATCCCTTGCCCACACTCCAGAACTACAGATTGGTAGTGGCCGTCCTGTGATTAATTCATTCGAAGGAAGTAGAAAGGGATGGCCCATGTAATGGGGAAGGGGGGGAAAGAGTTGTAGGGTGGTTTTTTTATATATATAATGAAAACAAACCGAAGCATCTGCGTCCATTCAAGGCACTTCTCAGCGCTTCTTCCGCCATCATCCAGAGCCTTTTCGGCGTTGACCTCTGACCCCCAGTGGGAGTAGCTTGGGGGAGGTGGAGCTTGAAAGGAGGTGGGCAGTAGGAGATGCTCATGGGGGATGCAGTGGTGGCTCATACTGAGCGTACGACTGGTGGCTGTGGAGGTGGGCAGGCAGGTGGCGGTACAAGGCGTTCCCTCTTTCCTCACGCCCCACACAGTAGGGAGGAAGGAGGAGGAGGTTATGGGTCTGGAAGGGGAGGGAGGGGTGTCAGCTTAATTCTTCTCAGATTTACGAAGCAGGAATGGAGAGGGGACAGAAAACAGCTACACGGTCCTTTCGCCTATCGACTTCCACCGAGCTTATGCCAGTGGTTTCCCCCTGCCTAAATAAACCTGCATGGTGCATTTGTGGTGTTATTTATGACAGATCCTGGCTGGTCAATCCGGCTCCCATCAATAAGTATTGTAGTGCACTGAGTTTTAATAACAAATTAAAAGGAAAGCCGAAATTAAAAGGAAAGCATTTACTTCCCCCCCCATTAGCTGAAAAGGGGGCAACTTATCACATTTGTGGAAATGCAAGTTTTCGAAGGGCGAATGCCTTTCTTACTCAGTTTATTAACTGCTTCATTTCCTTCTTCCCTAAACATTCTGGCTGTCACTAATTTCATTCTTGGTAGTGTTACTTTAAAAAACTGCTGAGAAGTCCTTTTGCAGGCAGGGCAATTTTCATCAAGGTGTATGTGCGATTGACAAGGCAGAGCCCCGAAGTTTCCTGGCTCACAAACAGGCAGGCTTTCCACTTGCTTCCAGCTCCATATCCCAATCTGTCATCTCAACCGGGGGGGGGGAGTTTTGCAAGTACATCCCACCAAACCCGGGGAGGGGGGAGTTTGGCTCGGGGAAGCTGTGGAGGATTCACAGGGTGGAAGACCGAGAGGAGGAGATCCCATCTCTGGAGATCCCGGTGCGCAGCCCGCTTGCTCCAAGCCGGAGCTCGCTACCGGGGGGCAACGGAGGGGACCCGCTTGCTCCTTCTCTTCTGCCTTCATCTCCCCCCGCAGCTGCTGCTCACAAAGGTTGTGGAGGCATTGTCAGCCACCACCGTCCCTGCAACTCGCCTCTAGTGGGCGTGTGGTTTGCAGCTGGTTTTTGCTGACTTGAAGTCGCAGGCTGGTAAATGTTCACCCTGGGAAATTAGCCACAAAACTCAATCTGTCTCCTGGCTGCTTTGCACTTTCTGAGCTGCAAATCGTGGTAGAGGGGGGTGGAAGGATTGGAGGGAGAGGGAGGAGGGAAAGGAGGTGTGTGTGTGTGTGTATGTGTGTGTGTATGCATGTCATAAGCATTTGAATTAAAATTATGGTACCATATTGAAATCAAATCTGATGTTTTTTAATTTTTATTTGGTGTGCGTTGGAAGAGGGATAGTCTTATATGGCGAATATAGTCCAAACTCTATATTTTAACTGGAAAAGTTGGGGGTTGTCTTATATGCCCAGTCGTCTTATACGCCAGAAAATACGGTACTTTTCTATCTGGGCTTTGATAGAATTATTCTTGGTTATTGTTTGGTGAATAAATTGCCACTAACAATGTTTGTTTTTGGTGCAAATATATTTCTACCATTACAATTCCTTCTTCATCTGAGACACAACATTTTAAAATCTGTTGTCTCTTTAATACATTCAGCAACACTTATTTTTCTCTGATGCGCTGATGCATAGTAAAGTTTCCCAATTTTTTGATGTTCCAATAATTTGTGATGTTGTTTTTTTATATGTGTCTCTTGCAAACAAATTAGATCTATATTCAAATTCTGTAGTTTCCTGAAAATTTTGTTTCTTTTTGATGGGGAGTTTAGTCCGTTTACATTCACTGAAAAAATTCCATTTTCTTTCTCCATTTCCATTTCCATTATTTATATTTAGGTCTAGTCGCTCTCGTAATCCTCTGTTCTCTGGCCATTCCTTCACCTTCACCCTCTTGCTTGTCTTTCTTTTTCTGTTCCCCTACTTGTATAGTTGTTTCTTGGGCTGTCTCTTCCATTTGCTTCTGTTCCTTGCTCTCCTCTTGTCGTTGTTGCACTCCTTCATCTAGAATTGCTCGGTTTCTTGCTTTGAAGTCCTCCAAATTGAATCCAGTTGATATCTTGTATTATTCCAGTTTATTAAGATGCCTTCTGGCATTAACCATCTAACGTTTATGCCTTTTTGCAATCAGCTTTGTAGTTAAGAAATGGTAGTGTCTTCGAGTATCTCTTACTCTCTTAGGTATCTGCTTTAAAACCACAATTTCTTTATCTTTATATTGTAATGGGTCATCTCTCACTTTTCTCAGCACTTCATCTCTTGTTGTTTTCTTTATGAATCTTACATGTACTTCTCTTGGTGGTTTATTCTTCCTTGCATAGCTTGAATTCATTCGAAATGTTTCATCTATCTCAATTTGCATTTCTGCTTTATCTGCCTTCAAAGCTTCTGCCAAAGGCTCAGTGTTCACATCTGCTACGTTTTCTTCTCTGTCCTCAGGCATATTTTGAAATCTCAAATAGTGTTCTGCCTTTTCCATTTCTACAATTGCAACTGTCCCCTCTAGATTTTGATTGGCTTGTTCTAATTTTTCATTTTCTTGTGATAACATTTCCATTTTTTTATCAATATCCTCTGATTTATTTTTCACTTTCTGAATTCTTTGTTCATTTTTAATAATCATTTGATGTTGAGCTTCAAATTGTGCCTTTATATCCAAGATTTCTTTGCTTAATTTTTCAAAATTACTTTGTGTCTCTTCATGATTTTTTTTTTTCATCATCTCTTGGATCTATTTTGGTGAGGCCTGCATTTCATTTTGGGCAGTGCTTATTTTCTCATGCTGCAGCATTGTTTCAATAGATCCCTGGGTTGTTGGGCTAGATTGTCCAACAGAGGGTGCAGAAGAGATCTTCTTCATAAGTCTAGTAATGTTGGATGTACTCATTTTACAGACAACAATCTTAAAATAAAGTCCTGGGTGTAGGAAGAGGCCAGCTGTTTTTGAGTAAATCGACCTCCTCCAGTTGAGTCTCCAAAACAAAATGTTCACTTTCTCCAAATAATTTCTGTTTAGTTATAGTCAAAGTCAACAAATGTAACTATGAGGAGTCTTTTCCCTTGTAATCTCACACCAAGGCATTTTGTTTTCTGCAGGTGTTGTTTTTTCAAGGTCAAAAGAGTTTTTCCAATATTTATTTATACTGTCATTTCTTCTTTCACCACTAGTCCTCATAAACTCATTTATTAATGTCTGATATTCTTTAGGAGTTTTTCCCCTTTGTAGTTACTCGCCACTTTTAAGTTAATTCTTCTGAGGATTTTGCTTTTAGGTCTTACCCATCAGGGGCTCAATGTTTTATAACCCACAAGGAGAAGTAATAAAGCACTGGTTCACCTCTCTCAGCACGCTGTTGACAGTCAGCTATTTAGCGGAGTGCTTCGGCTGCAACTCCTCGCTTCCCCTCCGGTTTGGGACAACTTGGGCTGCGTCGGCTCATCCAGCAGCCTTTCCTCCGCCTTTTCAGAGGATTTCTTCAGTTCACTCCAATTGGCCAATGCTTGATCCGAGCTTCTGGAGTGTCCCTCCTTCTTCATTGCCCCTCCAGGGCAACTTTCTGACCCTTTAAAGGTTGCTAGGCAAAGTGAAATCAGACTGGAAAGCCAGAGCGCCGGCTTCTTCCATCCATCCCGTCCGCCACCAAAACCACATTTTAACCACTGTGCCACCATGGCTCCTAATACAGGTAGTCCACTTCATTAGTGATCATTCAAAGTTACAACGGCACTGAAAAAAGTGACTTATGACTGTTTTCACATTTATGAGTGTTGCAGCATCCTCTTGGTCATGTGATCAAAATTCAGCAACTGGTTCATATTGATGATGGTTGCAGGGTCTCTGGGTCATGTGATCACTTTTTGCGACCTTCTGATGAGCAATGTCAATGGAGAAGCCAGATTCACTTAACAACCATGTTATTAAGTGCAATGATTCACTTAACAACTATGGCAAGAAAGATCCTAAAATGGGGCAAAAATCACTTAACAACTGTCTCACTTAGCAACAGAAATTTTTGGTTCAATTGGGTGTCAAGGACTACCTACACTACAGATCAAGGATTCCACAAGAGGAATTTAATTACTCAGATTGACAGAAGTTGGGGAAAAGATTCTACAAATTGGTTCTGAGTGGATTGTATAAATGCTGTCAATTCCATTTGACTCATTAAGTCAAGCTTAAGCCAAAACTAACTTAATATAATTTGTGAATAAGGCAGCAGAGTAACAGAAAATTAGAGAGATCTGATAACACTGACATAGAAGAGTATCTGTTTTTAAAAATTACACAAGTTGCATTATGAATGTCAACACACTTTTATTCAAAGTGCTTGCCCTTTCCTCCAATATTAAAAACATAATTGTAGAATCAGCTAAACAAATCTTGTGCTAACAATAAGAATGTTCTCTTGATTGCCTATTTAGCATCATTTTGAATAAAATCCACATGACTGAATGCTGTGCACACATCCAAGTACTCTGCAGACAATGCTTCAGCCTCTGCAGTGAAACAAAAGATGTCACTTTCTTGTTACATTGAGAGAAGCAATTGAAGCACTATCAGGATTGTGACCAAAGTTTTGTTTTAAATATTATACTGTATTTCTCATTGGATGAGAAACATGGCATGGTGAGCAGATGGCTTTACTCTTGTCTCATATTGCAGTTTATTCTCTTGTGATTTGGGGATCCCCTTTCTCCAAATATAGTTTCAAAAATCATTCACACAATACAGTAGGCATTGAATGGATACTGCTGGTGGTACGTCAGGCTCCTTTCATTCACTGTTAGAGATAAAATGTTGAATGAAAGTCTAATAGTAAGAAATATAAGCAGTACTTCTGGTATTGTTGCACTCTAAGTAACCATCATTCCTCATCAATGGAGCTAATGGGAGCTGGATTTCACCAGTATCTGGAAAGCTGCCTATTGATTTAAAAGCAACAGAGTTTGGATTAAAGCTAGGAGGTGTACTTGACACAGCATGGATCTTTATATATGTTTTGTTAAATGCTACATTTCTTTGTCTCCATTAGAAGAGAGACTTTGAACCTGCAAACCAAATTTTAGCACCTTCAGGTGAGGAATTGCCAAATACAGCTTTTCATGGAGGGGGTGGATGTGCTGAGAGTCCTTCTTGCCACAGCAGCAGAGTAATGTGCTATCTTTGTCAGAAGTCTTTTTTGAAGCAAAGTAAGATAGGGTAGGCTGGAAATAGCTGCTTATTGGTGGCAAGACCAGGAACGTGGAATCACTAGCTGCCAGAAGGTCTTCTGAAAAAAGAAAATGATGACTACGTCAAAAGAGAAACAATAGGCGTAAGGGAAAGAACTGCCATAAGACAAAATAATACAAGAATTCCAACTAATCACATGCTTAGATCTGGGTCAACAAGTTCAACCATATATACATATATTCCAACACAATCAGGAGCCCATTAGCACAATACTCCCAAAGTCTCAGCAAGGTCGAAGGCAGCACTGGAGAGATTTGAACTGCAGGCCTAGCCTTTTCCAGGATGCAGGATCTGGTTCTGGCAGTTTCGCTTCTCAGGCCCTTCAGCTCCTGGAAGCAACTCAATGTAGCCCCCGTACTTGGAGGATGTTACTTATCAAAGGCTCTTAGACCCAGAATTTTCAATACTGCATGTTTCAAAGAACCTTTTGCAGCTACTGTTATGAGGAGAAGGAAGAAAGGTTTGCTTTGACTCCCTGCAGGTGAGCATCTATGACTAGGCTGTAAAACAGAATCTTGCAATAAAAACTTATGGAACCTGGGTTCCCCAGAATGTGCTGGATTCCCAATCAGAGCCAGCATACATGGTTGGCAACAGGTTGGGCATATCTGCTGCTCTCAATGGACCTTTGGTTTGGTCTTTTTTCCTGTTCAGGGCTCCATAGAATGAAAAGGAATGAAGTGAAAATAAAACAATAAAGACTTTGCAGCATTCATGTATCAATAACAGTCAGGTGCTTTTTTTTTCACATACTGAAATGCCCCCTAAGTGCAACCAATGTGAAATATTATTTGTTCTTTATTTTTTTTATTGATTGGAGTATTTTAATGTTTTGAAGCCAAAAGGTGATTCAGGCATAATCTTAATAAAGTAATATTAAGTAATAATCAAACAATCCTTAATTAAATGGTTCCAGCCAAATTACAGATATTTTTCCCCCTGCTTTATCACTCTCTTTATATCTGAAAACAACAAAAATTGAAACCATTGTGCTCTCATTTTTAATAACATCTACTGTAGTTTCCAAATACATGCAAATAAGTATTCTGAGCCCTTGTTTTTCCCAATAGTGATGAGATAGAATTTTTTAACTTAAGTGCCAGTTTGAGGTAGTGGTTCAGGTACTGGCCTAGAAATCAGGAGACAGTTAATTCTAGGCTTCCCTTAGGGATGAAAGTAAGCTGAGTGACTTGGGTCTAGTCAGCCCAGCCCACCTCACAGGTTTGTTGTTGGGAAAATAGGAAGCAGGAACATTAGATATATATAGTGCCTTGAGCTGACCAGAAATAAAAGCAGGATAAAAATCAAATACATATTTATTTACGAGCTAGCATAGATACAGGTGAATAACGCTAGGAACATATAACATTGGAAAAGAAGGAAGGAAAGAGAAGAAAAGGATAATCAGCAGTAAAGTGGGTGAAGTCAATTATACCGGCTATGACTGCCCCGTTGGGAGACTTGAAAGAACAGGTAGGCATAGTTCAACATAGGGAAGATCTATTTATGTTGTCACTAGGAATCAGAACCAGCTTAATGGCACAAATCAACCAGTCAGTTGGTTGATCGGTCAGTCAGTCAAGTCAATTAGTAGATACAGGTGCAGAATATATCCCCTGAACTGCCATTAGCCATTGCCAATACCAGCAGAATTAGAATCAGCTCATAGCTTTAGAACAATTTTATCTGTAAGTTCCTGGCGTTTCTGAATTCCCCACCTTCTTTACCTTAATTTTAGCAGTTGGGATATATACCAACTAGTAGTCTTGACCCTCTTGGAAAATAACATGAAGAGGAAACCCAAGACTTATTCTAACTCCGCGTAGGTAGAGTGTCTACTCACCTCCTTGAGTGGACAGTGGGCATGTGCGAACCACTCTTGGCTTAATAAGGAGAAAATGGTTGTCATGCCCAAAATGTGGCCTATCCATATGATGATGTTCCAGACAGGGTTTTTTCTCTTATCATTTAGAACAAAGTTAAGCAACACTGTGAAAACAAACAGAAAAAGGATTAATTGTATATATTCCAATCACACTGAGCCAAGGAGATAATTGTTGATTTCTAATAACTGTTATTTGCAATAGAAATGTTCTTCGTTACCAAATCTAAAATAACAGCAATTCCCATGTTAATTATAAGACAATACTGTATGCCTCATCCCTACTTCTATGGAGGTAAAATAATTTGGGAAAGACAATTCTCAAAGCAATACCCTTGTAGATGGAACTCCCTGCTCCTAGAACCTACGCTATTTCCCTGTCCCTCTTTTATCTGCATCCTGATTACAACTAAATTTTAGTCATGATCAGGACGCAGATAAAAGAGTACTTGCATCTGTTTTGGAATTGTAACTGGACTTCTGAAATAGCAACATTTTGTTTTCCAGTTATTAATTTTGTTTTTGCTCTTTGCTCTTGCTTTTTAATTTGTAAAATTGTTTGACATTATTTTTTTCCCCTCCTGTTGGAATAAAGAATCTTAATTTTCTCAGGGAAGAACCACTGTTTATTCAATCAGTGACCAGCAAAATTTGAAAAAAATACGACACCAAAATAATTTTCTCAGGGATGAAAAAGCAGCCTCCAGCCTAAGCATACAATTCACCATCTGAGGGAATAATACAATGCACATGCTGCCTGTGAAATTCTGGGAGCTGAAGTTCACACATTTTAAAGTCCCCAAGAATGAGAAACACTGGATGGGGGATGGGGTGGGAGAGGATAATGCCCTGAATCTTTCCTTAGCTAGTCTTTCCCAATTTAGGAAGCTGCACATTTGAGGCAAGCAATTCCCAAGATTCTGCAGCCAAGATGTCTGAAGGCTGTGATGACTGAGCATACTGGAAATAATAATAATAGTAATAAATCTGGAGCAGATGAGGTGGGGTGGAGGTTCGTTCTCCAAGCTTGTTGGTTTCGTTACCAGGCTATGTAACCTTTTCAGTGGAATTTAGGGGATGTCAGTGTCGGTGTTCTGTTTATAAGGTCTCTGTGTTTTCAGGTGTGGGTCACAAGGGAGGGTCCTGTAATAGGTTTTGTGATGGGTCAGATGTGGGTCACATAAGGTGAGGGTCTTGTGATGGGTTAGGGTTAGATGGATCACAAGACCCACCACAAGACTCTGACCACTGGCTTCATATACTTTAAATAAATTTGGAGCAACTCCACCTCCCAGTGGTAAAAAAAAAAAATATATCAAAAGGAACATGAGTGTGTACCATTTGGGGAGTGTGGAAACCCAAAACCAGGGGAGGGTAGGACATAATGGAAGAAGGTTCACCAGGAGCAATTCATGCCACGTTATTTTTTTACCGGCCTTGCTTGAATCCTCTGAGTAAAGGTTCAGTCCATTTCCCGAGGGAGTACTGACCTCCTATCATGGCAAATAGCACAAACATGACAGGAAAGAACATGCTAAAGGCCAAGGTGAGTAGGTATTCATGGACAACCGCTGAGAGAAGGAAGACAATCAGCATAGCTCCACCTCGGGCTCTCCCTCCAAACAGCTGGAAGAGAAGGAGCACATGAGACCTCACCTTGGTACTTACCAATTAACAATGAAGACAGGCATAGAGAGATTACATGCAGCAGATCTATTTTATGGGATAATATGGGGTGGGTTTGGTAAGCTTTCCAATACTTTCAGGTATTCAGACAGTAAACCAAACCAAATAATAGTGCTTTTAGAAACTGTGCTTTTATTGTAAGGTTCCAGTAATAGAATCTTGCAGGTCTGAGAGCACTTCCTTCCTTTGCGGCCTTTATTTTTTGAACAACAAGAGAGAATCCCTTCTGAGATGCTGTTCTACCCCCCAATTCCGGCTGTGGGCTTAGGCATCTCTTGTTGATCATTGCCCTGGCTGAAGTTCTTCCTCCTGGCCACAAAGTTATTCACATAGCCCATTACAGCCTTACCTACCCGCAGAATATCTTGATAAATATAGTAGTACAGCCAGTCGTGTATAATTATATTCCATATCCGAAAGAATCCAGAGAATGATCTGGAATTCCACCAGTCCTAGGCAGGGAGAATGGAATAAATAGCATGAAACTAGAACATCCCTGTATTTTAGGCAAGCAAAAGAACAATCGACTCTTCATAAACCTCGACTTAGAAGGGCAATTGGGATTAGAATTTCCATCATTAAGTTAGTGGGGAAACCAGCAGGAATTTGCAACTCCCAAACAGGCAAGGTAAGTGGCTGTTGTTGGGTGTGGGAGAGCAAGCAGGTGCAACTGGGTGTTAGGGAAGGGGTGAGATTGAGGGGCAAGGGGGCCATGAAAGGTGAGATTTCAGCCATTGGGAGGGCTGATGAATGATGTGGGATCATGTGAGATCTTGCAAAGTCTTTCAGAACATGTTATTTGATCTCTTTTACATTCCCTCAATATACAGGCAGTTTCTACAGGCAGTCTTAATTTAGTGACCACAACTGAGAGCAGCAACAAAGTGGTTAAGTGGTCATTAAGTGGAAATAGTTGTGTTATTTATTTGTCAGATTTCTTTATTGCCAAATTTACATGGTTGCCCATCTCACCTGAAGTGACTCTGGTGCCATATGACAAAAGCAAAAAGTAAAATATTTTGCAAGCCCATTAAAACAATTAGCATAGATAAAAATGCTTGCAATCTGACTTCAACTTTCCTTTGCTTTATAAACCTGCAGAGATTGTAAATGTGAGGACTGATCATAATTTTACTTTATCATCATCATTGTAACTGTGACCAACTGCTAAATGAGAACCACCTATATTTATTACTTTGATTACAAGTAATTTGATACTTCAATGTCAGTTTCTTCAGTATAGTTGTTTCAGCAAGTTAAAATTTGCTTTTCTTTTAGAGGCATAACATCTCAGAATTCTTGGGAAAGTTTTTCAAACTGTTCTTCACAGAGTGGTCAATGGACCATTCAAATATATCCATGAGGAATGAAATCCAGACTCCCTGTATCTTTCTTGCAACCTCCCCCACTCCTTGTTATCACCTTGTAGAAAGAACGGTCTGCAAAGCGTAGGATCTCGGCAAACATGTTTTGCCAGCAGTGCAGGAGGAAATAGTGGATCATGATTCCCAGAGTTATTCCTGAATGAGAGAGGTAAAGAAATACATCAGTTCTTCCCGGAGATTAAAAATGCAATTATTCTTATGGATTTAAGACAGACGACTGCAAATCAAATTAGACTTTTAGCTTAGACTTTTAGAGGTTAGCATCGTAGTGGAATATCTAATCATCTAGGTCATGGTTGATCCAAGCAAAGCTGCCTTTTGCAATTGACTGATAGTGGTTTTGTCAGTGTTGGTGGTCTTCAAGTGGTGCTCCAGATGTTTTGGGATTGCACCCCAGGTGCCTATTACTATTAGTACTATCTGTGCTTTCTTTGGCCACAATTGTTCTATTTGCAGGTCTTTATATTTTATGATTTTTCTCCAGTTCTTTGTCTTTTCTTCTGCTTTTCCAGATACTACAATGTCTACTATCCAGACTTTTTTGTTGTAGGATCTGATCTGGGTCAGTCACTGGGATCAAAGGTTTTGTCTTTCAAGCTTTCAGACACTAGCCTAGGCTAGAGAAAGTTTCCTGAAGATGGGCAACAGCACAAGTCCGAAAGCTTGGAAGACAAAAACTCTGGTCCGGGTAACCGACCCAGATTGGATCCTGCAACATTACCCTGGGACACTTACATTTGCTTTCATTCGTGAATTTTGTCTTATCCATAATTGTTAACATAAAGTATTGTGTGGCAGATGCTTGTCTGCTTTAATTCTAAAGTGCCAGAACACTTTAGTGTCTTTGTTTTCTACTATTTGTCTATCTTGTGCTCTTACCAGTTCTTCTTGCAGGTAAGTGTTGTTATTATTATTATATTTTACCCACCTTTTGAATATATAACTCAAGGTGGCAAACATACACAATACTGAAGGTGAAGGTTCATTCTCCAAGCTTTAATTCATAGCTCTACCGACCATCCTACCAAAATTCTGGATATGCTATGTCAATGACACATTTGTCATCATAAAATGCTCCGAAATTGAAGAAACAGACCACCTACTCAATAACATATTCTCTGGGATCCAATTCACATGTGAAGAAGAAATAGACAACAGACATTCAATCCTCAATATTGACATAAGGAGACTAGACAATAGAGAACTGGAAACCCGCGTCTACGCCAAACCCATGCACATGGATCAGATCTTCTTCAGAAGGGCCAGGACAAACTGCAGTACCACAACACTAGGAAAAGCAGAAGAGAAATAGCTGCTTAACGTCTTTCTCCATAACGACTATCCAAAAAACTTCGTATTCCAACACACAGCACCAAAACCACAGGAGACCACTACAATACCCAAGAGTGGTGTCAGATATGACAGCCAGAATTTTCCAAACCCTAAGAATAGCAATAACCCACAAACCCATAGCTACATTCCACCAGGAATTATTCAGAACCAAAGGCAAGATACAGAAGGATGAAAGAAACAATGTAATCTACAAAATCAACTGTAACGATTGCAACCAATTCTATGTGGGACAAACATCATGTCAATTAAAACCAGGTTCCCTGAACACTGGCTTGGCAGTCAAATGCCACAATCCCAAATCCTTAATCTCTACTATGTTGACACCAAACAGCACCAGTTCCATTGGAGCAACACAAAAATCATTGATCATGCTATCACCCACTGTGCTCGTGAGTTTATCAAAGACTGGCACTCCACAAGCACTTCCATCAATAGACACATGGATCTACAATCAGCCTACGAACTCCTTAAAATCCAAATCAACCACACAGACAACCAGAGACAGCACCAACCCTCAACCAACCCACACAAGCCCCCATCACCAGCAGTTCACCTCCCAATGATTTTGACTTGATGTGACCTCCCCATCACTAGACACATCACAAGAATCTCACTAATGACTCTCACATGATTCATCACAAGACCCATCCCAAGATCCTCACTTGACACATTCATTCCTGAAGCCCTTATGAACAGAAGAACACTGATGTTGACATTCCCTAAACTCTGCTGAAGATGTTACCTAGCCTGGTAATGAAACGTTCGGGAACCAACCCACAAGCTCAGAGAACATACCTTCACCCTTATCCTACACCCGAGCTACAGATAGTCACCTCTATTGCGTACACACTACTCCTGCCCCATATTTTCTTCACAACAATCCTGTGATGTGGATTGGGCTGTGAGCAAGTGACTGGCCCAAAGTCTCCAGCTGCCTTCCATTCTTAAGACAGGTTTAGAACTCACCATAAACTAACTACAAGGCCAATGGTTTTACCAAACTGATCTTGTTCTCAACATATATGCAAAGTATCAAGAGGCAGGCAGTTAGTGTAGTTTGAACTAAAGGTAGCAGTCAGCTCCATAATTCAGTAAACACCTATGAGTGATTTTAGCTGGGAACTGATGGAAAATAGCTTCACATTTTTACAAGGAAGGAGGATAGGTTTAACATAAATCACTCTTTTTTAGAGGCAGAGAAAAGGCTGCAGTCAAATAATCAAAGAATCTAGAATCCAGATTCACTGCTAAAATTATATAATTATCCTAACACACAAAAACCTATACCAATTTATTCACAATTCTGTGGTCAGAATAGATGAATTGCACCATATTATATATATTATGAAAATGCTATGGGAAGGCCCTCCTCCCCAGAATAAAATATTCTACAGAATATTAAAAGAGGCAGAATAGAATATTTCCCCCTACAGTCTTTCTGCTATAGCCTCAACCAGAAGCCTGAAGAGGCTAGGTTTTGTGGATTGGTATTTTGCATCCATTCATAAAGCCAGGCCCCTCTATTCATAAACAAAGGGCAGCCAACAGCTCCAAATAAGCAGCACAATAGGCAAGGAGCTGAAACTGACAAGATTAGTTCAGACTACAAAACACCTGGGATTTGCATTTCCACTTCTGCCTGTAGAGCCAATCGTGACCCCTACATGACCCCATAGGAATCTGGCAACAGTCATTAAAATAATAAAGGACATGAACAGGCATCTCAATCACAAAGCCCCCAAAATTGTATAAAAGCCCATCTACGCTCATCTCTAATTTGTCAGCCACCCCAGAAACGTGCTGCTGTCACTGAAATGGAGATCTCTTTTCCAACTGCAGTTGCTTCAGTTCATTTCTTCTGTGTCTTTCTCCCAACTTGGAATAAGAACCAGACCAGATTTCACTTCCTACAATGCAAAATTTTATTCTGTCATTTATCCAACCAATTTGCATTATGCATTCTTATAATTTTACAGAAGGAGAAAGTCCTGTACAGAATTGTTTAACTGTACCATCTAATAATGAGTCATGTGTTTCAGCAGCAGCTAAGCTGCCTCCTAAGGTTTCAGCTGCCCATTGCCAGCTGCCTTGTAAATCTATCTTTGCAACCAGGACTACAAAATTGTTTTTCAGAAGTAAAGTAAGATAGCATTTTTGGTAAGTAGAATTTTATGAGCAGCACCATAGTCTCCAGATTTCTCCCATGTCTACAGAATTTTTGCATACCCCTTATTGCAAGGAAAGATGATGGACTTTGACAATCTGAACAGGACAATGTTCAAAGGGGCATAGCGCATGGCACTTGGAGAATAATTGAGGCAAAAGCAGAAAAAAAGAATAAGTAACTACCGGTTGCTAAAGCCCTTTTACAGGAAACAGAATCATCCAACAATGAATTCATAAAGACTTCTTTGCTGGACATTTGTTCTATTTCACATACTTTCATCATGAATAAAACTAGTAGACTGCCAGATCTACCTCATCATTTTCTGTGGGTGTTACATATAGTCCAAAATCATCTATATCTTGGCCTGTGGGATGAGGTAACAATTTACTTATTAAATTTATATGCTGCCCATCTTGCAACCCAAAGTAATTCAACATGGCTTACAATGAATCACTGAATTGCTACAGGTAGTCCTGGACTTATGATCACAACTGAACCCCAAATTTCTTTTGCTAAGTGAGACAGTTGAGTTTTGCCTCATTTTGTGACTTTTCATGCCAGTTCTTGAGTGAATCATTGCAGTTGTTAAGTTAGCAACCCAGTGGTTAACTGAACCTGGCTTCCCCATTGATTTTGCTGGTCAGAAGGATGCAAAATGAATGTGGTTCAGGATTCTTTGGAGAAAGCTATACAAAAGATCAGATTTGAGACAGAAGAGCTTTTGGAGGAGAAAAATCATCAGATGAGGAAAGATATTTTGTTGGCTCTTCAGGGGCTTGCGGCCCATGTAGAAAGGCTGGATGATAGGGTGGATGAGGTGGCTGGAAATGTTGAAAGATTGGAAGAAAGAGTTGAAAGAGTTGAAAATAATGTGGATGCAGCACATAATGAAATTGTGATGTCACAATGCAGAGACATGGAGTTTGCTTTGAGAATAAGAAGGTTGAAGGAGAATGCGAAAGAGAATTTGAAAGAAGAGACTGCTGCAGAACTAGCATCCATTTTGGGATGTGGAATTGAAGAAATGTTGAGAGATATTGAAAAAATCTTTAGAGTTAATTCATGGATTGTGAAGCAGAGAAATTTACCAAGAGATGTAGTTATTTATTTTTCTAGAAGATCACTTCGCAATGAAATTATACAGGTTTTTTACAATCAAAGCTTTCAAATTGTAGCGCAAGATGTTATAGTTTTAAAAGAAATACCTTCTAAAATTTTGAGAAGAAGAAAGGATTTTGCTTTTTTGGCTGAGGAGCTTAAGAAGCGTCAGATTCAATTTAGATGGGATGTACCTGTTGGTATAGTGGTGAACTATCTTGGAACACGTCATAGATTAAACACAATTTTAAAAGCAAGAGATTTTTACATTTCTGTTCTGAAGGCAGATGCACCACCATCTCCAAGATCTAGAAGAAATGAAGGTCAGTTGGCTGCAGGAGCAATGTCACCAACAGGAGAGGAGTTGTTGGTTGAATCAATGCAACAGTGTTTGGAGATAAGAGAAGAACCAAGGGAACAGAGAATGACTCGTGCAGCCCATAAACATAGAGAAAAAGAACAACAAAAGGTAGATGCTGGAGATACTACACAGGTTTCTACCTCTGAGCCAGTGGGAGGAACAAGACCAAAGAAGTCTTCAACTGCGGATTTAGATGCAGTGTTCCAAAGGCTTCAAGCCATTAGATATGGCAAAGTTCCTGACATGGAATGTTAATGGTTTGAATTTACCACAGAAAAGAAAGAAAGTATTTTACTATTTGAAACAACATAAGAATGATGTTATATGTTTGCAAGAGACTCATATTGCTTCAAAAGATGAAAAATATTTGATTAACTCCTGGCTGAGAGTACATTTCCCAGCCTCTGCTCCGCAGAAAAAAGCAGGAGTAGTTATTTATGTGAGGAAAGACTTATCACCGAAGTTAATTGATTCTGATCCACAAGGAAGATATGTTATTATTGACTTATTATTAAATGGCAAGAGAAGTCTTGTTATTGGACTATATGCTCCTAATCAGCAACAAAAATATTTTTATAAGATGATACATCAGAAAATAACTCAATTAGATTATAAATCAGTAATTATGATGGGAGATTGGAATGGTGTTTTAGACTCAATTAAAGATAAAAAGGGTTCTTTTAAATCTCCTAATCATGCAAAATTACCTAAAGTTTTTTTTTTATTTGAAGGAGGATTTGGAACTTAGAGACATTTGGCGTGAACGGAATATGGAAGAAAGAGACTTCACTTTTTTTTCAGACAGGCATCAGAATTGACTTTTTTTAAATTACTAATGATCTCTTTTCTAGGGTGAAGAACGTCAAGATATTCCCAAGAATATTATCAGACCATAGTCTTGTATGGATGGAGTTATCTACTGAAGATGGGAACAGAAGGACTTGGAGATTGAATGAAAATTTATTTAGATATGAGGGGAATTTACAGAGATGTAGAGATTATTTAAAGGATTTTTTTCTTTTGAATATGCATAAGGGTACTTCGATGCCAATGTTATGGGATGCTAGTAAAGCTTATATGAGTGGGGTATTGATTTATATGAATAATATGCATAGATGTAAACAGGTGCAGAAACGTAAAGAGTTGGAAGCAGAAATTAAATCTAAGGAAAAGGCTCTTATATTAAATCCATTGGACAATAATTTAAAGGCTTCTATTAGTTTGCTTAAGGAGCAATTTAATATGTTAATAGCTGATCAGATTGCAATTAATTTGAGGTATATGCAACATAATACATTTTGTAATGCAAATAAACCTGGTAGGTGGTTGGCTTACCAACTACGAAAGAAACAGAAATCTAGGATTATAGAAAAAATAAATTATAAAGGTAAAGAAGTTTATCAACAAAATTTAATTAAAAGGAGTTTTTAGATTTTATTCAAAGTTATACGCTAGTGAAAATAAACAAGTTTTAGATATAGAAAAGTATTTACAGGAATCACATTTTCCTAAACTTACTATTGATCGAAGAGATGAGATTAATGGTTTAATTACTTCTGATGAGATTATTTGGGCAATTAAACAATTGAAAGTTGGTAAGGCTCCAGGTACAGATGGATTAACAGCAAATTATTACAAAATGTTATCTGAAGAAATTATAGAACCATTGAAGGAATTTTTAAATAATATTCTGTTGGGAGCAGAGGTACCTCCATCATGGAGAAGGGCTTTCGTATCATTGATTCCGAAAGAAGATCAAGATTTGACGCAGCCCAAAAATTATAGACCTTTATCTCTTTTGAATACAGATATAATTTTTTTTCAAAAATATTGGCAAATAGACTAATGTGAGTTTTGAAGCAATTGGTTCATAGTGACCAATCTGGATTTATATCCGGAAGATATATGAAATATAATGTTAGACAAATTGTTAACTTAATTGAGTATTTGGATAAGAACAATCAAATCCCTGCTGCTTTGATTTTTTTAGATGCTGAAAAAGCTTTTGATCAATTAGACTGGCAATTTTTATTCAAAGTAGTAGAGGAAATGAATTTTGGGGATACATTTTTACTTGCCCTTAAGGCAGTGGTTCTCAACCATTTTAATGCCGCGACCCCCAACCGGTCGTAAGTCAAGGACTACTCAACCGGTCGTAAGTCAAGGACTATTCAACTGGTGCAGCACCATTTGCATAATGGGACTTTTGGCGGGCTCAGCAGGGCAGAGACAGTCTGGACAATTCCTATTGGCTTTTGAAAGCCAATAGAATTAGACTCTGTTCAAGAGAGTCTATTCTATTGGCTTTCAAAAGCCAATAGAATAAAAGGGAGTAGCACAGCTAAGGAAAAGGAGAAAAAAAATGGCAGACTGTGTTGTTTGGCGACCCCCGTGAAATGGTCGTTCGACCCCAAATGGGGTCCCGACCCACAGGTTGAGAACCACTGCCTTAAGGCAATATATCAACAACAATCTGCACAAATCGTAGTTAATGGAGGTTTAACAGAAGCATTTAAAATTGAAAAGGGTACAAGACAGGGATGTCCTTTATCCCCATTGTTATTTGTTTTAACAATGGAGATTTTACTTATTAAAATTCGGGAGTCACCTAGATTAAAGGGAATAAAAATAAATAAGAGTGATGATAGATTGAGAGCTTTTGCTGATGATTTGGTTGTGACATTATCTCAACCAACAGATTCGGTTAGAGATTTGGTTGAAATTTTAAGTCAGTATGGGAAGGTTTCAGGTTTTAAGGTAAATAATAATAAGACTAAAATATTATCGAAAAATATGTCTATGAAGGAAAAGGACATTATGGTTAGATTAACAGGTTTTGAAATAGTGAAAAAGGTTAAATATTTAGGAGTTTATTTAACTGCTTCTAATGTTAAATTGTATAAAAATAACTATAAGACATTATGGATAAAAGTGCAAAAAGATTTAAATAATTGGAAAAAATTACAATTATCTTTGTTGGGAAGAATTTCGGCAGTTAAAATGAATATACTTCCAAAGTTTCTTTTTCTTTTTCAAATGATACCTATTTTGAAAAAAGATGCTAATCTGGAGGAATGGCAGAAGGAGATTAATAAATTTATTTGGGCAGGGAAAAAGCCGAGAGTTAAATTCAAAATTATGCAAGATACACGGGAAAGAGGTGGATTGAAGGCACCTAATTTAAAATTGTACTATGATGCGGTGGCTTTAACGTTGATTAGTGATTGGCTCAACTTAACAAATAAAAATATTCTTTCTCTTGAGGGATGGGATTTATTATATGGATGGCACGCGTATTTAATTTATGATAAAAAGGTTGATCAGGTTTTTAAAACTCATATTTTGAGAAGTGCTTTGTTGCATGTCTGGAAGAAATATTATTATAGGTTAAGTTATAAAATCCCAATTTGGGGGATTCCAGGACACATGATTGAGGGAGTATCTAGGGGAGCAAATTTGGATAAGATTTCTTATAAGGAATTACTTAGTCTGGATGGGCAGCATTGGCAATTAAAGCCTTTAAATGAGTTGAAGCAAGAAAATATTGTATATTCTTGGTTTTATTATAATCAATTGTTATTGAGGTGGAGTATAGATCAAAAGGTTGGAATTACTTTAGAGGATGTGAATTTGGTAAAACAGATTAAAGATCAAAGTCGAGCTCATATAAAAAGAATTTATAATGTTTTAATAGAATTTGATTCTGAAACAGTTGGTTAAAGATTGTATGATCAAATGGGCGCAAAATATTCAAGAGCCAATTTTATTGGATACATGGGAAACAATTTGGGTTAGAAATGTAAAATTTACTCAAGCGCAAAATTTGAGAGAAAATTTTTATAAAATGTTTTATAGATGGCATTTGGATCCCCAAAAGTTGCCCTGCATGTATCCAAATTTACAGCCTAAATGTTGGAGATGTGGAAATTTAGATGCAACGTATTTCCACATTTGGTGGACTTGTAGAGATATTAAAGCTTTTTGGATAAAGATTTGGTGGAATATTCAAAAGATTTTTAAGAAAAAGATTAAGTTTACTCCGCAATTATTTTTGTTGGGTATTATTGTAGATTTTGATGTTAAAGAAACTAATTTGATGTTGAACCTTATAACAGCTGCAAGATTATTGGTGGGACAATATTGGAAGAAAAATTTGTTGCCTACTTTGGAAGAATGGATACTTAAAGTGTCTAATTTGGCAGATATGGCGAAGATTCTCCACCTATTTGAAGGACCATTCACAAGAAAGATATATTATGGTTTGGAGAACATGGATTGATTATATTCAGAAGAAATATGAAACTGAAAAGTATTATCTTGCTTTTGAGTAGATTTTAGATTATTAATTATTAATAGCTTTAATTATATTATTATTTTTGACTTAATTTGTTAATATTTGTATTGATAAGGAGTTAAAGTGTCTTATGGTTTTGATTGATAGTATAATTGGTTTATGTTAGCTGGATTATATTTGTTTATTCTTTTGCTTTACCCTGTAATCAGCTCTGGGAAGTGGGGGGAGGGGGGAAGGGGTGGCGGGGTTTATATTGTAATAAATTTATAAAACTTTTAATAAAAAAAGAAGGATGCAAAAGGTGATCGTGCCACCCTCTGGGGCACTGCAGCCTTCATAAATACATGCCAGTATTTACGGCGTGTATTTTGATCACGTGAGCATGGGGATGCTGCAGCAGCCATAAGTGTGAAAAATAGTTATAAGTCACTTTTTTCAGTGCTGTGGTATCTTTGAACATCACTAAACAAATGGTTGTCAGTTGAGAAATATCTGTTGTACGTCTTCACTTTCTCTAAAATGTGATAAATCAGCCTTATCCTGTAATCCCATTACACAAATTAAATCATAATTGTTTCCACATACCAGATACTACTGAATCAAAGATGGAAAGTAGCAGGATTTTGATGGTGAAGGGCTGCTTATGCATGTTTTTGAACATAGGGATGAAGGAGTATTTCATAAGGAAATTCAGAAAATATATACTCGCCAGGAACTGTAGGATGGAGAGAAAAAATACTACCTTAGTGATCCACTAGCATCTCAGTCTTCTGGCAAGGCATACTGGTTGCCTTGGCTATGACTAAGAACAATCTTCTTCTCATCTATGGTTTCAAAAGCTGGATTTGGCTGCCATTTTAATCTCCTACAATGCCCAAATACTGTCCTCCCTTTTCTTTAGTTTTAGTCAACCTGTCATAGATTTCTGCACCACTCACTTGCTGAATGGCTCTAAGTTCCATTAACTCCGCTCTCTTTCAAATCCTTTTTCCTTTTGTTTTCCTTTAGGAGATGTTTGAAAATATGTAAATTGTGTCTAAAATTTTAAATTGTACATCTCTTAGGGGCAGTGAACTTTTTTGCATCAAACATGACTCAGGACAAATGTTGTAATTCACTCAAGGCTAGAGAACTCTGGGAAATTTAAATGGTAGCCTTTAATCACTCAGGGTTTCTTAAAGTGTTATTGCTATTTACTACCTTGGCCACCTAAGATACCTTAGGATTCCCAGTTTAGCTCAGTCTTTTCTAATCCATAAAGAGGCCAGATAAAACCAACCCGCCAATGGAAACTTTAATGTGTTTTACTCACCTCAACCAATTTTTGGATGACGTAACTCCAGCGGATGTATGGATCTCTATAAGGAAAGGAGCAGGGATTGCGTTGAGATGTGATAAGGGTGCAGTTCCCTTTTCTTGGGAAATACAATGGTTACACCATTGCTCTAGGGGCATGGACTATAGACACTGAAGCCTGTTTTGCCCACTCTTTTTCTGATATAGCTGAGAAACCAAGCAGCCCCAAATACAAGGACGATATGCAAAGACTCACCTTGGATAGCTCTTTCTGTAGATCAAAGTAGGGCAGAAGAGAAAATACAAATATGTTGATAATTCAGGAGGGCTTATCTTCCCTGGAGTAGGGGAAAGAAGCAAAGGAACTATTGAAAGTACACAGGGACAAGTACCGAGACAGCAGTTTGTGTTGTACACTGAAGAAAGAGTTACACACATGATGCTCAATTGGAGACATCTTATCTCTGCATACTGTTTCAGCAGGAGGAATGCAGAGCTTTATGTATACGTGATGATAGCAGTAGCAGTAGCACTGCAGCCCTCTCTAAGAGGTTTACAGAGTCAGCATATGGCCCCCCAACAATCTGGGTTCTCATTTTGCTGACCTCGGAATGATGGAAGGTCAACCTTGAGCCAGTGAGAATCGAACTTCTAACAGTCGGCAGAATTATCCTGCAATATGGCATTCTAACTACAGCCCTTCTTATCAAGATACTTATCTACAAAAAGTAGCTGCAAAACCCACTATAGTTAAGATATGATACAGGATGCAGAATTAAAGCTTTCTGAAAAAATCTGTCTCCATTGGTATACAAAAGCAACAAATAAGGAAATTGTCTATTCCATGTGTTCACAGGGATATGTATAAGGAAAAAAAATGCAATCAATAAAATCTTGCATTATACGTCAGATTTTTTTTAAAAAAAACATTTTGAGCTGCTTTGTATCCTAATAAGAAAAATAAATAAATAAATAGATAAATAAATAAATCTCCCATGTTTTGACCTCTTCATGCAAAATGAAGTTTGACAAATAGGAGAAATTGTGATTTGGTGAGGGATATGGGGAAGTGTACTTGATCCAAGCAAGAGGTTTCTTTTGCTTTGAATCCATATAACTTTTCTTAGCATTTTGATATACCTAAAGTCTACTTACAACATCTAACATGATCCAATCACTGACAGGAAAATGGAAAATGTAATCCAATAGTTCCTCAGCTGTCATAAGTTGAGAAAGTCTGTGATTAGCATTTGGAGGCCAATGGTTGGATGACTAGCTTATGCTACAACTAAAATGCTGCCATTGATGGAAAATCAGTTTGGGGACTATGGGGACAACTTACAGCCATTGTAATCATGACTAAGGGCCTTCAAGTCAAACTCACCAACTTGGTCCCTGGCAAGGAGAAGAGGGGGCATCGATTCTCGCAGAAATGAGTGGCTTTTCATCAGGAACCGGATCTATCCCAGAGGGGGAAATGAGCAATGAAACAGTGTGAAGTTACATCATGTAGATATTCTTGCAGGGGACTTTAGTATTCTGCTATGCCATCTACCTGTCCTTCGGTACTATCCTTGTGGATATTCAAAGAATGGAATTGGACCCATCAGCTCAGATGGATGGGCTGATCCAAGAAGTCTCTAATGCTCACATGGTGGATCCCATGGTGCTCCAGACTCTGTCTGTTTAGACTTTTCAGATAGAAATGGCACTTGGCTATCTGTCAGCTATACTGCCTGCTGATTTTTCAGCTCATTGTCTTGTTTGGATGAAATCTGCTAGTCTTCCAATTTGCAAGAAGAACATACGAGGGCAATTCGGAAATAAACCTCCATTTGGTTATCAATGACAGACATGTGCAGATACAGAACTTTTACTATACAGATTAGAAAAATACAACATTACATTACTTTTCGCAATAATTGTCATTCAAATTGAGCCCCTTATCATAACATCATACAAGGTTTGAAATTCCTTCTGCAAAAAAATCTCCTGCCTGGGAATGAAGGCACCCCATAACAGCATCGTGAACTCATTTGGTTGTGTTTTGTGCTCCTCAGAAAGGAATTTTTGTACCCAACAAGCACAGAACTTGCGATATCCCAAATTTTCTGTCACTACCTCATACAAAACAGTGTGAGAAATTTGGGAAAAGTGTAAAGAAATCGCAGATATCATGAACCAGTGAACTTCATGGACCTTTTTGTCAATTTTCTGCATGAGTTCATTGCTGATTACAGATGGGTGGCCTTGCCTCATCGTGCACGTCAGTTTGTCCATCTTTAAACATGTGACACCACTGACGTACGACGCCTTCACTCATCACATTTGCTCCATAAACATTACACAGTTCATGATGAATCGCAGTTGCTGGCAGTTTTTTCACATACAGGAATCCTTTTACTGCACGCACTTCACCTTTGGAGGGATTTTCTATGGCAGGGTTAATTTTCAACTGATCCAGTGGATGAGTTAACTACAACACTACCTTCTCCTTCCATTCCTCACTGCCTACTGAAGTACTGCACATGTCTCCATTGGACGGGCGTCGCTATCCCCACCTATTTCTCATGCTCAAGGGGAGGTTTATTTCCAAATTGCCCTCATCTATTTGAGGCCATGGCAATTGCTACTGCAGGCATTTATACACAATGTATGCATGACCATGGCTGCTAAGGAGCATACCTTCTGCCACAAGATTAAAAAGAATGTACTGTATATCTTATTCAGGGCAATGTATAGTAAAGAATATGTGTTTGACCTGGCCATCCTTAATGCCCCTATTTGGGGTTTATGGGACCAGTCCAGACCATCCAGAGGGCACGAGATAGGAGACAACTACCTTAAACCTGGAGTGAGGTTGCCATGTCTTCTCTGTGCAATGGCACATATGTGGCCTGTGTTTGGTAGTATAAATTTATGCTTTCGGGGGCCTTTGTAGCACCTGCTGCTATCTATATTTTCCACACTGAGATATTCTATGGCAACCAGAGTTCCTTCACAAATCCAACCTCATCTTAACTACCCTCATTGCTGTTTAAGAAATCCTTTCCCCTCTACCAACTTCCTTTGTGCTGGCCCAGTGACATACCTGCTCAGAGATGACAATAAAACGGGAGGCAATTCCCAAATCACAGGAGAGAAGGATATAGATGGGGAAGAAGCCCAGCATTGCAGTGTGGCAGAGCAGCACCAACACCACCAAGGTGACTGTCAAGAGGTTGGGGAACCTGGTCATCTTCAAGCGGCCTGACCATATTTGCAGGGCCTGGTAGGGCACAAATAAGGTGTAGAGGAACATGCAGAGCCAGGCAAAGAGTGCTGTGGGGAGTTGTCGAAAGCTACTGATAATGAGATCGAAATCCAAAACAAGACTGTGGAAGACAAAGAAGAAAAGGCGCTCTAAGGATGTTGCCCAAAAGATAAGGATGTTTCAAATTAAAATAAATACCCCAGGTGACCCATATCCCTCTGCCTCTACTGCAACCCCTTGAGCTTTCTTTGGGGCATCCCCAATATTCAGTGGTACAATTGCTGAAAAGTGAAAGGGATGGGTCCTGCTATTTTGAGGAGGTAAACCCATGAAAGGTTCAATGAACTCTTCAAAATAGACAGATCAGAGTTAGATGAAGGAATATCCCCTTCCCCAACTAAAAGAATTATGATCAGTCTCTCTCATTTTGTTTCATAACCTTGTTTGATTTCATAATCTTGGTTTCATAATCTTTACCCTAAAATATTGGATCCACAAAAAAAGGTTCCCAGCACAATTTCAATGGGTCAGGAATAGAGGATGGTGAGGTATTTGATGTGCCTATTACACTAGGAACATTACTCAACATGCTTGTCAGAGAAATATTTGTATATTATTCTGCCGTCATCACATGGCTGTTTGGGTTTTTGCAGATCCCATCCTCTCTAAAAGGATTAGTTTTCTTCATGTAATCCCTTTCTCTGTTCCTAGTTTCTATATTTTTCCATTCCTATATTAATAGTAAATTTATCCCGATTTTCTTTAAAGTCAATTGGTCAATTAATCAATTTATTGACCACTAGTCAAATGGAATGGAATATAGTACAAATACAAACCATGTTAACAAATGGCAGATGCATACTATGTGACACAACACATATGTTCACCCACGAACACCGGTACAGAAAGATCCAAAAGGTAACAAGTTTCATTCAGAATGAGGTTAGAATAAGTGAACTGAGTAAGTGGGCTACTAGGATAGAGAACGGTGTTTGGATGCCTAGCAAAGGTGGCACCAAAGGGATGTTCCTCAGTTAGACTTATGAATTTCTAGGCAGGCATAGGAGGGTCCCAAGGGATACTGCTCCACAAGAGTGCAAAGACAAGGAGAACAAATTCCATCTCCTTTGTAGCAAGTAGATGAACAGTGACACCTGGGAGGAGAAGCAGCAGGGTCAGGGGACTCGCAGAAGGTTGCCAAACCGTTGATGGAATCTAAGTTCAAAAGATTAGGTAAACATGTTCTTAAGATAATTACTGTGTCCCTTAGCAGAAAACAAATAGCACCCTATCCCCACATTCACCCCAGCATTAGCATACATCAGAGGATCATACCGTCCTTCGTCGATGGAATCCCCAATGATTTGTTTGAGGACAAAGATACAGAGCATGGCCACAAATATGTGACGGATTGTGCGGAAATGTTCCACCTCCATCAACGTGCTGTAAAAGAGAGAGATGTTGCCAGCAAATAAGCAATAGAGGTGGGAGAAATGGGCATTTGAAAATCATTGGACGAGACCTGAGATACCAAAAGATTTTCATCTGGCTTTCTGTGCAAAAACTTGCAGTTTCACTTGTATAAAAGAAATAACAATCAAGGGGCTGGGGGAAAATGTTCCCTCTCTTGTGATATACAGGTAGTCTTCAACTTATGATCACAATTGAGCCCTAGGACCAAGCAGGAAACTCACTCCTGCTGAGACTACAAACAGCCTTATTCTAATATGCTAGTAATCACTCTTTGTACTATCATGCTAGCCCACTAATCAACCTAATCCTTTAAAACATACTTCATTCCATTTCCAATCTACAGTATCTATTCTTTGCATACTCTCCCTGCACCCATCAGTGTGTGGCTATGGAGCATGCTCAGTCCTTATTGGACTGTTTCCAGCTCTTGTTCGTCATCACAGTGGAATATCAGTTATTTGCCCCAGGTCACCTTTGGAACCTAAGGCCTTAGAGATCTGGCTACTTTGCCCATTGTCTCTCTGACTAAATCTCATTCATACAATGGCCAGGTATACTTACTCATACAATGACTGTTGAGGGACAAAGACTTTCTTCTTCAGTAGCTGACCTTTCTCTCTGCAAAATAAGATTTCAAAGCAGGTAATATTTAATATATTTCTCAAAACCCTTCTCATCTCTGAGCAAGTGGGGGGGGGGTAAAGGTAAAAGAGTCCCTGCAATTATTACTCCACTAGTCATTGCCGATTCATCTTCATTTCAAGGCCATTGAGCCAGTGCTGTCCAAAGACATTTGTGCGGTCATGTGGCCAGAATGACAGCACAAAGGGCTGTTACCGTCCCACTGAAGTGGTACCTATTTATCTACTCACATTTACATGCTTTCGAACTGCTAGGTTGGCAGAAGCTGGGGCAAGTAACAGGAGCTCACCCCCTCATGTGACGTTGGGTCTTGAACTTGAACTGCTGTTTTTTTCATCCAACAAACCCAGCGTCTTAACTACATTGCCAAGCATGGACGTGGGAATAGCAAAATAAGAGCAACAACGTCACAGAATTCATGCATCATATTACCTTCTTCAGAACCAGCCATCGCTTGTGTATTTGAAGCCTTGCCATTTATTTTTTTCTGTACTATAACCACTACATAACTTTAGGAACTGGTACCTGAATTTTCTTTCCCCTTCCCATTTTATTTGTTTTTAAATTGTTTATGGAACTTAGATTTTTTTACAAGATTTTATTAATTTTTTCCATACATACAATAATCATTTTTCAACCAATGTGCTCTCTGAGTTTAGATACACTAATACATATTTAATTCCTAATCCTTCCTTCTTTCCTCTAACCATCGGTAAAATAAGTCCCAAGTTTGATAATATTCTGTTTATTCTTTTTCTTTCAGTCTCATAGTCAATCTGTCTATCTTTGCGCATTCTAATATTTTTTGAATTATTTCTTCATCTGATGGTATTCCTTCATTTTTCCAATATTGCACAAATATTATTCTTGCCACCATTGTGACATGTAAAATCAAATATAGGCTTTGTTTGTTAGTCTTTTCTGGCATTATACCTAATAAAGAAAGTTCAGGCTTAAAATCTACATATTCTCCCAACATCTTTTCTAACCAAGTATGTATGTTTTCCCCAATAATTCTTTACTTTATCACATGTCCACCAAACATGATAATATGTGCCTGACTTGTGTTTACATTTCCAACATCTATCTGACATATTTTTAAACATTTTTACTAATCTTGCTGGTGGCAGGTGCCATCTATAAAACATTTTATATAAATTTTCTTTATAAGAAGTTGACATTGTCAATTTATAATTTCTTTCCAATAAATTTTGCCATTTTTCTAATTCTATATTATATCCAAAAATTTTCGCCCATCTTAACATTGTTTCTTTAACTTTCCATTTCCAAAGTTAATAAAAAATTATACATTTTCTTAATTAATTTCTTTTTTTAAAAAAACAAGTTTTATTGGTTTTTCAATTTTTATGTCAAAGTGCTTAGGAACCAGCATGGTGATGGGGTAATCAGTTATCCAAACAAACAAACAAACAAACCACAAAATCATAAGTATACAACTCAAATTTGTTCCTTAAAAGTTCCCTCTCTGTTTCTCTCAGTTAATGTAACATATTCAAAATAATATATTTCTAAATAAAATTCAGACAGTCAATAAAATTATCAATGACATTTTACCTATACAAATCCAAATCCTGTTTTGTAGCTTTAATTAATTTCCAATTTCCATGTTCCAATTTAGCCTTAACTAGGTATATTGTTTACATTTCGGGTATCCCTAATTTCCCTCCTTTTATAACATACTGATTATACTATCTAAAATAAAAATGTTATTCCAACAATTTCACTATTAAATTTCCCAAATATATTCTATTTCTATTCTAATACCTCCTCCTTTGCTAATACCATATCTTCCATTTTCACAATCCATTTCCTTGTTCTCATTCCATTACGAAGTAATTATCATACCTAAAGTAAATATGTTATTCCAAGAAATACATTCTTACTCTATTTCACTTATATGTTCTATTTCTTATTATAATAGCTCATTTAAAACCTTTTTCATGTTACAATTCCAAGCTACAGTCTAACCAATAATTTTCACCTCAGTTATAAATCTAAATCCTAAGCATTAAATCAGTCCGTGTCTCTAAAAAACCTTTTCAGTCCATAAATATAGTTTTAACTCCCATTTTTATACCTTACTCTAGCTTTCTTTTTGTGCCAAGCAGGTTTCCATAGTAGAGCCTCTGTGTCAACAAATAGGTCTCCCTTCATTCCTTGAAATATCATTTGGTCAAACTGATTGGCACAAACAGTCGTATCCAACATTGTAATTGGTAATTGATTGTCAAAGTTATCACAATTCTCAATGGTTTGTATCTGAGCATCAGTTCCTGTTGGTTTTGAAGTTACATATGATTTGGTTAAAGTCATTTTTGAATCATCAAATATCTCAGTAGGTTGTATGTAGAGTAGTATAAAGTCCTCTTTAGTGTTGATTTGTTCTTCTTCTGTTATTTTTGGAGCTGTAAAGAAATCAGTTGGAGTCTGGGGGTCAGTCAGCAGTTTTGGGACAATTTCTTTGGTTTCCATCCTGAAATTCATTTGGTCAGTAATTTCAAAGGTTTTTTCCAGAGTGAATTCATAATTAAGATGTGAATCAATTTCCTCCATCTCATTAAATTGTGTATGGTGTTGGGTATAGGCCTCTTGAGTGTTTGTCTGTTCCTCCTCTACTATTTCTTGGCCTGTAGATTGCTCAGTTGAGGTTTGAGCTTTAATCTGTCGTCCCCAAATAATCTCTTTCATTCTGGAATCCATTTGCTCAGTCGTTTCAAGATTTTTTTCCAATGTGAGCTTGTAGTTAAGATGTGGGTGGAATCCCTCCATGGCAGTGGTGATTAAAACCTTTAATCTTTTAGTGGAGGCTGCATTTAATAGCAGTCAGTATCCACCTGCACAATTTCTAACAGTTAGTTTCATCACCCAGCAATTCAGCTTGTTTATCTTTTCCCTTTTATGATAATTTGAAACTCAGTGTCATCTTCAAAATTAAAAGGGAAAAGAAACAGCAATTGCAATTTCAGTAACTATTTTCACCACAAGATGTCCCTAGTAAGTTATAAAGTCTTTTCCCAGACCCCAATAATTTTTTTTTCCAGTTAAAGAAATAAAAAAGACAATGTTCTCCAAATAAATAGAATGTTGAAATTCTATTAAAGAGGTTTTTCAGGACCCCAAGGTGTCCCAAGTTAAACCTAGTCATTAAAGTTAGTTGTTTATTTTTTCCCTTTGTTCCAAGCTTACCTTCCCACATAGACAAACACTGCTTTTTCAGAAAAGGGAAATAATTCCAGAAGGGCTTTTCACAGGGGTAAGTAAGAAAAGGAGAGGCAGGAAGGGATCTCACCCAGATCTTCCACAGTGGTTCTTTTCACTTAGATGTTCTTGTGACTTTCAGCTGGTGCAGCTAAGTGATCGGCCATCTTACTGGGCGATCTTTGCTCCATCGGCCCTAAGGAGCTGCCTCGAGCCACTGAAGGAGCTGCCCCCCTCCTGCAGTCAACGAGGAGCCTCCTCAATGGTGGTCGCCCCTCCAGGGTGACTTTCAACCCTCTTCAGGGTCTACCGGCAAAGAAAAACCAGCTGGCGAAGAGACAACTCTCTCAATAACACCACCAGCGCCATGAACCGGAACCGGAAGTCTTAATTAATTTCTCTTCTGAAGTTAATAAAGTCTTATCAAATACCGTTTGTTGTTTATAAAATCCATACAGTTTAACATCTTTTTCATATCTAGTTTGCATTTGTAAATGTGCCCACTATGACAAGTTGATGCCTTTGTTGTCCATTTCTTGTTTAGATTTTAAATTCCCTTCAGAATTTAGAATATCTTTATATGTCCAGATTTTTTCAAAGTCCACCAAATTTGAGGGTACAAATGCTTCCATAGTTGACAACCACCCTGGAATTTTCAAATATATTTTACTTTTTATTTTTTCCCATACTATTAATAATGCATTTCTTATATAATGGTTTTGGAAATATTTATGTATTTTGTTTTCCCCATACCATAAAGGCATGCCGCCCCAATTGTAGATCATGTCCCTCCAGATACAACAACCTTTTGTTTCTAAGAGTTATCCATTCTTTTACCCATGTTAATAGAGATGCTTGATAGTACAAAACCCACTCTGGTAAACTAAATCCTCCATTTTCCTTAGCATCTTGTAATGTTTTCATCTTAATTCTAGCTTTCTTTCCTTGCCAAACAAATTTCAAAATTAATGAATTTAAATCTTGAAAAAAAAATTCTCAAGTTTTATGGGTAATGTTTGAAATAAAAATAAGATTTTTGGCAATACATTCATTTTCACTGTAGCGATTCTTCCTAATATTGATAATTACAATTTTTTCCATTTTTCCAAATCCAATTTTATTTGATTCAATAATTTTGTGTAATTATCTTCTTTTATCATTGAACATCTTGCTGTTAAATGTATACCCAAATATTTAACCTTTTTAACTATCTGTAATTCTGTTTTTTTTACATTTGTTTTTGTTTATCTGTAAGATTTTTAGCGATTACTTTAGCCTTTTCTCTGTTTATTTTCAGTCCTGCCATTTCTCCATACTGTTCTACCTTTCCCAGTAATTTAGGAATCATCTCCAAAGGTTCTTCTAAGATAAATACCAAATCATCAGCAAATGCTTGTAATTTATATGTTTCGCCTTTTATTTCCAGTCCTTTAATTTCTGTATCTTGTCTGATATTTCTATTTAGAACTTCCAGAGTGAAAATGAATAACAATGGGGATAATGGACATCCTCGCCTTGTGCCTTTTCTTATCTCAAAGCTCTCCGTACAATCTCCATTCACGATCACTTTGTTTGTCTGTTTGTTATATATTGTTTTTATCATATTTATAAAGTCCTGTCCAAAGTCCATTATTTGTAGTTGCTGAATCATAAATTGCCAGGAAATGTTATCAAATGTCTTTTGGGCATCTAGAAATATTAGTGCCAATTGTTTCCTTGGATGTAGTTAATAATATTCTAATATGTCCATTATCACT